GCCAGGGAATCTTCTAGCAGCTTCTCACAGGTGCCACCCCTGTAGCCCCTCCCCTGCTCCCGAAACCACTCCCCACAAATGCAGTACAAGGACAGACCTGACAGTGTTGTGTCATAGCTTCCTTTAGAGATGTTGACAGTGATTGAGGCTATAGGGTGGTCATTTTAAGATATTTACTTTCTTTCCCACAAATCTGATTTGTAGTGTAGAAACAGTGTTTTAGGCCTACTTGTTTGTGGTAGATGACATCTTTACTGCTCCGTGGAAGTTTCTCAAATTAAAAATGTCAGAGGACAGCTCTCCTATCCTAAGTTATTTGCAACATATTTTATAAGAAATTGGTGATGTTGGGTTTAAGCCATGTTGATTTGGGCTTGGTGATATTTATTGTGGTTTCTTGGAGGTAGAATCGCATATAAGTGACATCTGCCAAACCCAGGAAACGTGGCATAGTTTGAGATGAATAATCCATTTTACACAGTAACTTCCACAAAATCTACTTTCCCTCATCTTTTTTTTTCTTCCTTTCCTTTCTCCCTTTTCCTAATCCACCTGAAAAAGATGGTGAATTTAAAAGAGAAGATTAAAGAGCTTCATCAACAGTATAAGGAAGCATCAGAAGTGAAGCCACCTCGTGATATTACAGCAGAGTTCCTTGTGAAAAGCAAACACAGGGATCTGACTGCGCTTTGCAAGGTAAAGGGTGACGTATGTACAACACGTAAGTCAGTGGTTTCTGAGGACTTAAGCAGCCAGATAAAATGAGGCAACATAAATATTTCCACATCTCTCACTCCGATCCAGCACTCTCAAGAGAATGTGATTGATGGTGACTCTGGGTTGTAATACTGGTAACGGGCTGCATTAAGTACCTTTAGGTACTGATCTTTCATGGCTCATGATGAAGAGTATTAACATGTTGAAGGCTCAGTTTTCGGTAGCAGTCTGTGGTGGCTCACGTCAGGCAGCTTTTAATGTTTTGAAGGCTAAATTTTAGGTCATACTTGGTCTTTAGGACTGCTGGGTCTGAAAATAGTCTGGAATAAAATCTGCATCTGAAGAGAGATGCTCTTTCTCCAAGATAAAAAAGGCAATTTCCTGAATAAAAGACTTCTTTCTATCCAAAGATGATTATTTACAGAGCTCTTATCTTGACAAGCAGAGTTTGTCCCTGCCTCTGTGTGTGTCTTGATGTAGAAATATGCCTTAAAAAGGAAACCTTAAAAACTGTTCTTTCTACAATAGTGAAGGACACCTTGCTAATCCAGGCAAGATAGAAAGAAGGATCATTTTTCAGCTACTTCTTCAACAGAAGATATGTACCTTTATTTGGAAGCTCAGTGTTTTTGTGTGTACATAAGCAGTAGCACTTTATAATGAACAGCTTTGTGCTCTTGTCGCTATTATTGGACACTCCAAAGTATTCTGCCTTGAAGGAAAACGACTGTTGCCTTTATACCTAATTCTACGAATGTTTTTTAAAATAATAAAAACCCCCAAACCTCTGAAAGAAGCTTGAATTACATCATGGTTTTGCCTTTTGCATGACCACTTCTGCTTTGGAAATCTCTATGTTTGGTATTAACTATAGCCTTCTAAGAGAAAGCAGAATAGAAATAACATTTTATGCAATATGAAAAAGCCCTCAGTACCATAGGAACCTTTAAAACACCAGGACTGTAACAGACGTTCCTTTTCTTCAGATCTGAGTGTTTAAATTCCTGAAATACTAGCATAGCAATCTTTTCTGCTGTGTGGCGTAGATGTCTGTATATCTGAACAGCAGAAGGGCAAAATATGCTGGATTAAATGTTCAAAAAAATAAAGAACTTGATTCAGATCCCACTAAAACCATGATTCTTCCACTGATTTCTCTTGAGATTAGGTCTAGTCTGATGCTACACGATGTCTTTAAGTCCTTTTACATGTAAACGGATTTTAAAGTTAGCTTTTAATCTTATTAGGAGTATGATGAATTGGCAGAAGCACAAGGAAAGCTGGAGGAGAAGTTACAAGAACTTGAAGCCAATCCACCAAGGTAAAGATACAAACTAAAACTAAATACTCAGGAAAGCAGGTTTTTTTTTACTACTTTTCACTGAGTTTCAAAAATGCTATGGTATGCTGTCTTTTAATTATGGTAACTCAGGCGGTTAGGAAGGTGGAAACACGAAGTTTGAGCTCACTCAGCTTTAGAGTGCATCTTTCTCATTTTTAGATGTGACTCAGACAGAAGTGGTTCTTGGCTAGGGTGCATTTGAGTAGAAATCCTTCCTGCAACCAGTGCCTGATCTCAGGAAGCTCTGAGATTTGAAATGGCCATTGATAATGATAGCATACCAGTCCTGCTTATTTTGGCAGAATATCATTACTCTGTGCTTTGTGTGATTACTCTAGGTTTTTAGTCATCATCTTTATATAGGCTACTTAAGCCATTATTTATGTAACTTTTATTTCTAAAATTAAGTTTCCAGCTTCGCTTAGAATATTTTACATGAACTCTATTTTGAAAATGTGGATTTGCTGGGTTTTGATACTCAGCTTTCATGAAAGAGGTCCAAATGTTTGAAAGAGAATCTACTTGCGTTCTTTTTAATGTTTTTTTTTTTTATTTCTCCACTAAGGAGGGTCTCAAACAAAAAAGATTGTGAATAGATTTTTCAAAAGCAATGCATTTCCAACATCCTACTCTAGCAAACTGAATGTCTTTGTATAATGTTTGTGGTTTTTTTCTAGTGATGTTTATCTGTCGTCAAGAGACAGGCAAATACTTGACTGGCATTTTGCAAACCTGGAATTTGCTAATGCTACACCCTTATCTACGCTTTCACTGAAGCACTGGGACCAGGTAGCTAATTACTGTATTAATGCAGCAATACACCAAAAGGTTAAGCTATATTTGTTTTATTCTCCTGGAAGCTTCTCTATGTAAACAGGTTCTAAACACTTAAGTGCTACCTGATCTTATGCAGATACTGAGCTCTTACATGATTATTATTTGCTGATGGAATTCCAAACAGCTTTTTGTTAGTGCCAAAGCAATCTCTAATAATACTGTCTACTGGAAATTCCTGTGCTTACTACTTGACTAATAAACTGAGAGGCTTTCAAAGTTATTTGACTCTTTGGAAAAAAGTTTTTGAAAAAACATTGCCATTGTGTAGAGTTGCTGATTATCTTCTATTGAGTTACGTGATTTCATATAAATGCTTGCTTTTTATGCGTCTTCATTTTAGGATGATGACTTTGAATTCACAGGCAGTCACTTGACTGTGAGGAATGGATATTCCTGCGTGCCTGTGGCCTTGGCAGAAGGGTTGGATATTAAATTAAACACAGCGGTTCGACAGGTTCGCTATACGGCATCAGGTGAATGAAACCACCTCCTCTGGAAAACTGCTCTGAGGGAGTAAGACCATAGAAATGAGATTTCAGTGCTTCTGGAAGCAGATGTGAAGGCTGATCTTGTAAAAAAAACCTCCCACTATACATTTTGGGTTAGATAAACAGACACATTTCTTATTGTGATTAGTTTTGTAGGAAGCTGTTACAGATTTATTAACCTTTAATAGTTTTGCTTGTTTCTGTGGCTGGTCTGACACCATCCTTTTGAGTTACGTTTACTGATTCTCCCATTTCTTTGCTTCGTGATTGAAGAAGCATTTAGAGTAAGAGGTCTTGGACTGCTGAAGACTTGGTGCCACAGGATCTGGTATTAGGAGTATAAATGGATGTAATATGGACTCAAACAAATGGAGGGAAAATATCTTTTTGTTCTTCGAAACATTGGGCTTGTGAAACTGTCAACGGGAGAGCAACTCTCTACTTGCCGTTTATTTATGCATATATTTAAATATCATTTACTGGTCTAGATGGACCTTTAGGCTTGTCCCAGTGTGGCCATTCTCAGATGCTGTGTAAATCACACTTTCTGGAATTGAGCTATGTGGCCAGGAACACCCATTTGCCTACAAGTTAAGTAATTGTTAGTGTAAGCTGTCTCTATAAACAAAATGTTTTCTGATGTTTTCTCTTGCCTCCTGACCTATTGAATGATTGTATTTCTCTCCCCTTTCCAGGCTGTGAAGTGATAGCTGTCAATACACGATCTACTAGCCAGACTTTCATTTACAAATGTGATGCTGTGCTGTGTACTCTTCCCTTGGGAGTACTGAAACAGCAGCCTCCAGCAGTACAGTTTGTTCCACCTCTTCCTGAGTGGAAAACTTCTGCAGTGCAGCGTATGGGATTTGGCAACCTTAACAAGGTGACTCGGTCATTGAGGGAACTGCAGTAGCCCGGGGGCTGCAGTAGGTGGAATCTCAAATGTACCTGGAATATGTGTGGTGGATGAGAGGAAGAACGTTTTTTCCACTGCTGTTTTGCTAGATTTTGGTGCTGAAAATTATCTAAAGAACTGTAAGGACCTCTTCTCTATTTCCCACACAATTTTTAAATAGTTAAATGTCAAAAGTAGGTAGACTCAGTATGTCTGCTGTAGCTTGTTAACCAGCAAATTTGTAAACTATGAGAGGATACTAGCCTATGGAAGGCGGTATAGGTATACACCTGTTGGGTATTATGTATATGCAGTATATATTCACTAGATTTTCCTTTCTTGACCTTTCCAGTGATAAACATCAATGAGTGTAATTGTCTTTATTTTTATTTTTTCTGTGTACTTCTCCTAACTCTTGATTATTTTTGTTTCTAGGTTGTGTTGTGTTTTGATCGTGTCTTTTGGGATCCGAGTGTCAATTTGTTTGGTCATGTTGGTAGCACTACTGCAAGCCGAGGAGAACTCTTCCTGTTTTGGAACCTGTACAAAGGTAGCTGTGGTACATGTCTACTTTTGACAATGTCTTATTTGTGTAGTTTCAGACCTAGAAAAGAGCACTTTTTAAGATGCTGTTAGTGTTCACATATGGATATGATAAGGAGATAGGATTTTTAGGAAGCCAAATGGAAGCAGAGAGCACCACTGACTTGCAAACAATTCTGTAATAAATCAGGGCAGAACGTAGACAAGTGTGGGTTGACTAATGCTGAACTCCAGGCTATGTTTGTTAAATTGCACTGCTACCTATCTACTGTAACACTTGTATTTTTATAGGCTACTTTATTGCCTTGCACCTTGGTGAAGTTGTCCTGTGACTTAGTGTTATTGTGGTTGTTTCTGTTAAGCATCTATTTAGTTGCCACTGGCATTCTGAAAAAAAAAAAACTTTTTTGATTTTTTTTTTTTTTTAATCTTAACTTTTAATTTTTTTTTTAAATTAAGAAAGCAACAAAAACCCATGCATTTATAGCACTTCAGAAATAAAGCAAATAATGTGTTTGCTGAAGAGACATGTTGTCTTAAGTACCTGCTTTGTCAGGAGGATGTGTTGAGTTCTCCAAGAAAAAGGTAATTTGTGTCTGCAGCATTTCTGAATTAAAAGCTGTTTCTTAGTTTGTGAGTCTCTTTGAAATTGAGTTTCTCTCTGGCCACTTGGAACATTGTTTGAACTCTTCCCCTCTTTCACTAAGCTTCTCATGCAAATGGGGCTGGTATCCAATTTAGTCTTAGTTTTGAAAACCTCAGCTTCCTGGATGTTTTTCAAGCTGAACTGACAGTTTGAAGCCAGAACTCTTTCATGCAGCTGTCTGTCTAATCTGGGATGATTTGATAACTGTAGATGAGGCCCTCTCATCAGCGACCTCAAGTCCTTTCTGGTACGGGTGACTTTGCTGGCCAGGGTTTCAAGCTTAAGTATCTAGGAACTAACCAAGATACATTTTGTTTGGTTTTGGGTTTTTGTTTGTTTGTTTGTTTGTTTGTTGTTTTTTTTTTCCCAGAGGTAAGGCATGCTGTTGACTTGTGTGTTCTCTTATGTGGCCGAGTGCAGAACTCAATGCTTGTAGGTTGTCCCGCTTCTATTTCTTAGGGGGGTGCAGTCCAGGCTTTACAGAGTATGGAACCCTCAGATTTCAGTGGAGCAGACTAGAGGCTTTGTGACAGTTCCCTTCCTCTTGCTCAGCGTTACCATTCCAGCTGCATGAGCTGCAGGCCCATCCATATGGTTAAGGTGCATGTGCCTTGGAGCAGTGGCAAGCTGTGGTGTGTCTGCTGTACCGAATACTTGACTTTGTTTTCCGTTTTGAGCGGCAAAGTTGCTATGACTGTAGACCATGGATCTCAGACTGCCAGAGAATATTAGAACTCCTCTTTAGAAAATGCTGATATGGGCAAAAGATATTGCTCTGCTTATTTCTGCAGCTGGACTTTGCCATTAGGAGTTTTGTTTTGTCTGCAGCTGGTGTCTGCCACAAGAGGTTGAGAGAAGGTATTTTCAGTAAGCCCGCTGGTTTTGTCCATTGCCATTTATCATACTAAAAACAAAGGTGTATATACAGCGAGCGCTACTAAATGAGTTATTTTTCTTGCAGATGACTTTTTTGAAGTACCAGTGGGGTTTCTTCCACTCTATCATGGGCAGGCCAGGTTTTTTCTTTAGCTGGAGAAAAGAGCTGCGCAAGGAGGGCGCTTTCTAGGGTATTTAATTGTTAAAATGTTTGATAAGATTTGACTGGAGAAATACAAGTAATGAACCTTGGATAAAAAGGGTGTTTGTGTGTCTGCTTTTGTGGCTTTAAGATGGTTCTATTACGTATTTAACAAGTAGTGTTGGGGTTTTGGTTTAGATGAGAAGACCGTCTCACATACAAAGGTTTCGCTGCTAGATGCAAAACCTTCCTTCTCATGAAAATGGGCAGAGCCCATAGAGGTAAAATAGAAATGCAGTAAAATCCTATGCTAAAGCATGAGTTAGATGGCTGAAATAAAATAATCCATTACCGTGTCTTATGGATAGTTAGGTGGCAGTTGACTTGATTACACTGTGAAATGTTAAAGTAGACCTGACTGAACCTGTGAAGCTGTTATTTATTTCTGTCATACTTTTTATTTCTGCAGCCATAGCATTTTGGGCAGGGACTGTTTAAGCTGCACAGATTGGAGAACAATTATTAATCCAGAAACAGAAAAAACTGCAAGTATCACAGCACATGCTGTATTAGCTCCGTGGAAGTTCTTTAAAGGTCTTGTGCTGGCAGAGGCCAACTGGTCTCTGAGAAGTGTTTAAAGATAAGTGGGTGAACAGAGTGAAGCTCGGATGTGAAGAGACTGCATGTGTTTGTACTGCTGTTGGGTGAGCTGTTGTGGCTCAGACAGGAGTCCTCCCAGTAGTTTAAGTCTAGTTCAGGTAATGACTGCTGAGAAAACCTGTAGCCTCAGGAACGCTGTGTGTGTCCCAGAGCAGCTGGCCTGTGCTGTTGGTGCCTCCTGCTCTGCCGTGCTGTTGGATCATTGTCACGGCCGTGTAGACACAGTTTAAGATGGAGAGACTCCATCAGCACAGGGCAGAGGAACTCCTGGCAGAAATGCTCCTTTTTTTCTGGAAGTCCAGTGAAATTTCAGTCCCTGGTTTTCTTGCCTGGCTCTTCTGTTTTTCCTAGGGACACAATGAAAAAGATAAGGCCCTTGCTCTGTCATAGTTTTGTAAAGGCTTTTGGTATCAAGGCTCAGTAAACATCACTGCCTCAAGGAGAGAATTTTTTGTGGAGCAGTGACACATGCTTGTCACACAGGGAGCTTTTCTGAGCAGCACTTTGGTATTTGCGTAGCAAAATAGTCACTGTTCTGCTACAGCTTTCTGTTACAGTTCTGAATTAATCCAGGTGACTGAATAGCAACATTTACAGGTCTGGGTAAATGCTTAACAAACAGGGTTTCATGTCTGGGAAGGCAGGATTTCCATAAAAATGTTTGGGGTTATCTGAACACAAGTTTTCATGAACAAATTCACTGGAAGCTGCTTTTTGAGTATGTAGTTCTTCCATCAAGAGAAAAATATGTTGACTGAATAATCGCTGAAAAGTTCAGGGATCTCATTGTGTTGAGAATGGCAAACTAGGAAAAACCTTGTGGCTGAAATGACAAAAGAAAATTCCCAATGTCTGTGGATGATAGGAAACCAGTTTTTTGTACTTCACTTGTTTGAAAGACTAGGCTTAATCTTTCAGAAAATGGAGTTTAACTGGAGGAGGAATCCTGTATCTTTTTTCTCTAATAGATTGCTTGTAGTCCCAGAGGTCCTGTGTATTGAAATGTCTTAATTGTATCTTGAGTAGTGTAATTAGCTTTGTAGTGATAAAAGCCTTACTAGTTCTTCAGAATTTCGAAGACTTTTGCTCTTAACCAGAATGTATTATTGGGTCTTCCATTCTGCATATCACAACTGAACTTCAGCCAGTTTTATTTACAGAGCACTGACTTCATGGGAATGTATACCAGGAGATCTCCGTTTATACCAGGATACGAGGAATTCGCTAATCATTTTGGAAACCTGTTCAAAAGTTTAAGCCAATTTTTAACAAGGACTTTATTTCACGTTTCAATATGCTTGACATCTGTTTCTAGCTGTAGTATTTCCTTTGCTAAATTTAGGAGTTCATAAATATCTCCAGGAGGAGAAAGATCAAATGAGAGCATTTTCATTAAGTAACCGTACTCAGGTCTGAGTCACTTCTTGTAAATGCGTATTTCTTGCCATTGGGTTATTTTGGTAGCTCTTCAATACTTGCCTAAGATTTTCCTTGAATTTGTGACTACGAAAAATATATGCTTAGTCTTACCATAGCTGGTCAGAGGTAAAATGACCTCATCTATTTGTATATCCTGTAATCACATTAACACTCTTCAGCACAGCATCACGTGGGCAGCTGAGTTATTTGATACCTGTCCGTTTGCCTTCTGAATTCTTCTCAGAATTGCTGCTTTTCTGGATACTGTTCTACTGTTCGTAGTTTCCACTCCGTTGAGATTATTTCACGTGAATGTGCATTGGTAATGAAGAAATCTGGATACTTTGTATGAGCGAAGTGCTTATACAGGTAGCTTAACCGCTATGCTGATGTTAATTGTACTTAAATTAGGTTGTTTGGAAGGTATTGCGTTCCCTTAAATTTAGCACGGATGACTGTTAAATCCCAGTGGAAATTCCTATGTCAAACAAGTGATGCCTTCACTAAGGAAAATCTTTCGTCTTGTCTGCATGCTGTACTTCCTAATGTGTGTATTTAATTTTTAATACATTAGTTCTCTTGGTAATTCTATCCATAGCATATATTAATTATTTTTCCTTTTGGTAATTTGACATGATGGCGGAGGATTTAGGACTACTTCTCTTGGGTTCATTTTGTTTTTTAACGTCATGACTTAGCTGCAGATCCATGCCTGTTCAAGTCCAACTTGATGATCAATAAAATGTTCCATTTCAATAATTAAATTGTTTTTTCTCTCTCCTCCTCCCTCACCGCTGCCTCCAGCACCAATTTTGTTGGCCTTGGTAGCAGGAGAAGCAGCAGGGATCATGGAAAATATCAGTGATGATGTCATTGTTGGACGGTGCCTTGCCATCCTCAAAGGCATATTTGGTAGCAGCGCTGTGCCACAGGTTAGTACAGACAGCGTGTTTGGGTAACTTCTCTGCGTTTCAGAATGTCCTACAGTTCTCAGTAGCCTGGATGCAGTAGTGAGCTTGTTTGTATACGTACCACCTTCTGGTTGTTCAGGGTTTTTTTGGAGGAGGCACTATTTGTGGATTTGGGTTTTGGGGGGGGGTGTGGGTGGTTTGGGTTTGGTTTTTTTGGTTCTTTTTGGGTTTTGGTGGTGGTTGGGTTTGGGTTTTTTTTTTTGGAGAAGATTGTTTTAGACTGAGTAAGACTAGCTTTTCCAGAGTGTCGAATAATTTAGTTAATTTTCTACCTTTTACATTTCTGGGGTTACAGCAGAGCTATCCATGGCTGGTGACAGCGCTGCTTAGATACTCCCTGCCGTGTTCTGCACCTTCTGTAAAGTACTGTAGAGCTCCTGACCAGTAAACTCCACAAAGAAACTGGTTTGGCTGGAAAATAGCTGAAGGGAGAGGAAGGGAGTAAAGGCAATCTTTCATCTGGATCAGTTCCCTGTGTAGCTAGCCAATGGTTATTTAGGCACAATAAGTGTAAAAGGAATCATAAGTGAAGAGGGAGTTTAGAAAATATTTATATATTACTCAAAAAAAAAAAAAAAAGGCAAAAAAAAAGCTTGTGTACTTTCATTGGTTTGAAAAGTCTTACACGTGTTCAACCTACAATGTGTGTGACTCAGCTGAACACTTTGTCTGTTTTTCTAACAGGCCGTGTGGAATAATTTCTTACAAATGTGGCACTGGATGTAAATAAATAGCTCTCCTCTGCCGGGATTTTCTGTGTAGTGAAGTAGTAGAAAAAAAATCCATGGTCGCTGTAATGTACCAGTCCTGTCTGCGCACTTGACCAGGTGTAAATTGGACTGTATACTTGCTTGGTATTTCATGTGAGGAATAGATTCATTTTGTTTTCTTTATTGTGGAATAATTGTAGAGCTCTCTTTGAACACGGCTTTATCATCCCTAGTGTTTTACTGCTTTATAGATGATGTATAGATCCTCACAGCTGACTGTAAGCATGGATTTTTAGTTAATGAGTGGATCTTATATTTTGGAAATGCTCAATCAGTTGGATTTTACATCTTAGGCTGGAGAACACAAGAGAGGGAAACCCCAGGCTTGCCTTTCTGATAAATCCACAGTTCTTCCTGTGAACTTTTGGAAGCAGTTTCACTTCCTAATGAGATCTCTGTCTGAGAGGAGCTTTGAAACTCTTCTGTCTACAATTGCTGTAGAAATCACTCTAGAGTGAACCAAGAGTGAACTTTGTATCTGTCCAAAACAGAGAAGCAGAGGAGTTAAACAAAAGCAACACTTCACTGGAACGTGAGCCATCCTCATCGTTCCTGCGCTGCTGCTTGTTACTGTCGTATTTTCTTTCTGGTTTGGTTTTCATTTCCTGAAGATAGGTATAACCCCTTTTTCCCCTGCCGTTCTTCAACACATGGAAACTTTTTCAACCTTGCTGTGCAGCTAACCTCTGTAAGCTTCCTATCCTCTGTAGAGTACAATTCCAGTTTTGTACCACTTCCATTGTGGTACATGTTTTACCCTCTAACCATCCTTCTCCCTGTTCACAGGAAATCCTAATAACACTGTTTGCTTTGTCAGGATGAAAATAAAAGTTGGCTCGTACCTGTACGTGGGTGTGTGGGCACATGAACACCGCGGTTGCTGTTTGGACTGGTGCAGAGTCAGTGTTGGGGAGCCAGTACTTCTATATTCTGCTCTACAATTGTGTCTGTCAGCCATACCTTCAAAACTACCTCAGTGAACTAAAATTTTTCTGGCTTTATTCCCTCTTAGACTGCAATGCTTCATGTGATTACTAGAGAGGATTAAATTTATTAAATGCCTCGAAGTTTTCTTTGTCAGATGTGCGTGTGATAGCATACAGTGCCATCACAGTGGTCTTCATCCAGCAAGGAGGGAAATGTGAGATTACTTTTTCTCAAGCAGCAGTCGATATATGAGAGCTGGTTCATCACTCAGTTTCCTACCTTTTGCATAAAAAAATGGTGAAAATTGTGGTGAGGAATTTTCTCACTTAAGTCATTAGACTGTATTGGGAAATGTGGTCTCTGATCCCCAGTGCTTTCTTAGACCTTGGAACATGGGCCCAGTCCTCTGTGGCCTTTCCACAAACTCAGCAGAAGGCATCAAATGCAGTCCAGCTGAGGCCAGCCTTGGAGAGATCACCTCAGATTTGTTGGTGTTGCAGTCCAGGAGACTTGCCTTCCCTTGACCATCTAAAGAACCTGAAGGTGCACAAGTCCATGGGACCTGATGAGATGCATCCGTGGGTCCTGAGGGAAACTGGCGGATGAAGGGGCTGAGCCGCCGCCCATCATATTTGAGGAGTCATGGCAGTCTGGTCAAGTTCCCGCTGACTGGAAAAGGGGAAACATAACCTCCATATTTAAAAAGGGGAAAAAAAAGTAGACGTGGGGAATTACAGGAACAGTCAATGTCACCTCTGTGACCATCAAGGTCATGGGGCGGATATCCTCCTGGCAACTCTGCTAGGCCCCATGGAAAGTAAGGAGGTACTGGTGACAGCCAGCATGGCTTCACTAAGGGCGAATTGTGCCTGACAAGTCTGGTGGCCTTGTATGATGGGGTTACAGCATTGGTGGGGAAGGGAAGAGCAACTGATGTCATCTACTTGCTCAAAGTAGGCAGTGTCCCATGCAACATCTTTGTCTTTAAACTGGAGAGATGTGGATTTGATGGATGGACCACTCGGTGGATCAGGAATTGGCTGGATGGTCACACCCAGGGTCTCAGTCAACAGCTCAGTGTCGGAGTGGAGACCAGTGAGAGTGGCATTCTTCAAGAGTTGGCGGGGGCTTGGAACGAGATGATCTTTAAGGTCCCTTCCAACCCAAACCATTCTGTGATTCTGTGATGTGGTATGGGGCCTGCTGGACTGATTTCTGCATGACACCCTCACTAGATAGAGCCTCTTTCTCTTCATTTGTGGGAAGGTCTGTTCAAGTAGAAGCAATTCCATGAGATATCTTCGTGCCCAAGGAGAGGAGATGAGATTCCTGTCTTGATGTTTGCGTTTCTATAGCGTGTAATTCCTGTTAAAACTCAGTTACACATTTGGACAGAGTCTGAGCTGGTTTAAGTTTCACACCCGTTGCTTTTCAGTGTTATGTCTGCAAGGTTATGAAGATTTCCTGTTTTCTCTAGACTGCTGTTATGCCCTGGAGGGATACTGGATTGAGTCCCAGTGATGCTCTTCAGTGGAATATGTTTCATCATGACCATTACGTTGGCAAACCAGATGGATTGGAGAAATATAGGTGTTTATGCAGGTGACCTTTGTGCAGTCATTTTCCCAGATGAGTTACAGACCTTTTATAGGCCTATATCATAGTCAAATCACAAGAGGCATTCAGATGAGCTGTGGGTGAAAGAAAGTAAAGGAGTAGGAAGTGTGCATTGTCATTTTGCTCATAGTAGGAGAAGAAACAGAGCAAACAGAAGTACACAGTGCGCATGCACAGCTGGCTGCGTCTGAGTGCAGAAGCTACGTGCCATAGGTTCTGGTAATATATTGGAAAGAATTAAGGTATTGCCACCGACGACAAGTTATTTACAAGTAGGTGTTACCGTGGAATATAAACTTGGAGTTCCACCATTAACATTAGCGTAAGTGCTTTGTGTCTTTTATTCCTACAATGTACATATTTTGTGTTTTGCACCATGTCAACAACTGAATTTTCTGTGTTGTCTCAGCCGAAAGAGACTGTGGTGTCCCGCTGGCGGGCCGACCCGTGGGCCCGGGGATCGTACTCCTATGTAGCAGCTGGATCTTCTGGAAATGACTACGATTTGATGGCTCAGCCAATCACTCCAGGGCCAGCCATTCCAGGTGCTCCGCAGGTGAGAGATGTCTCGATTCTTCTTAGAAAAACCTCAAAACAGGATGATTGTTCTAAGTCACTTGCATGCACATCCTGACACAAGTTTAGGTAACTTGCATCTTCTCATGAATCATTAGAACCTGTTAAAAATTCAGCTTTCCATCCATGAATTCTGCCTTCCCAGATTTGGTGTCATTTGTTTACTAGAAAACAGAGTATTCTGTTCAGAAAGTCAATTTGGTGAACAGAGCATTATAATATTATACATTTATTGTGTTTCATACTCCATATTTATGTTGTCCATCACCATATTTAAGTAAGTTGTAGCGATTGGAAGGAGGGTGAAGGCCAGAGCGTGGTGAACAGGAATCAAAAGGTGGCTCCCAAAGCGGGAGCGAACACAATGAAGGCTTAAGTCATCTCCAGTTCACGTGGAGAGGAATCTTTTGCAAGCAGTAGCCATTCTGAAAGCACTGGCAGAGAAGGATGCATGGCTTTGGCTTTATTTAGGTTCTTTATCTAGTGATACAAGTCATTAATAAACATTGCTATGGATAAAATGATTCTCTGCAGAGTATAAAATATGAAATTTGTTCTCCTGCTTTTATGACACAGTCAATAGTTGGTTTAGGTCTCAGTTGCAAAAGAAACTGCTAATTTAAGTGAATTGCTCAAGATTTGTTTCCTAGAGTTCACATCCCAGGATCAGAAACCGTCATTCTTCTTGAGCGTTTTTAACAGTTTGGTGCAGAGTTGTAGACGGAACGTTCAAATGCTTTGTCAGTATACAGCTGGGGACGTTCATCTCCCCTGCTTATCTGGTTCTGAAAGTATTGTTTTTCAAGTACAGCTTTATTATCTTTGTACCAAAGCAAAGATATTGGCAAGTTTTTCCTCATATCACAGTTGTTACAAACATGAAACCTCCTGTGAAATGAAAGGTGTATATAAAGATTTTCCTGGTAATTTGTAGGACAAGTTAAAATATTTTTAATACAGACCAATTTATATGCACCACCTTCATGTTAACGGAGGCTTTGGTGTGATCAGAGGGCTTTTAACGTTCTTCTTAAAGTAGCTGCTGCAGCATCTGAAACAACATGAACAAGCCCTAACAGTGTTCTCTGTTCCCCCTCCAGCCCATTCCTCGCCTGTTTTTTGCAGGAGAACATACCATTCGCAACTACCCTGCAACCGTTCATGGCGCTTTGCTGAGCGGACTGAGAGAAGCCGGTCGCATTGCAGACCAGTTTCTTGGGGCCATGTACACTTTGCCTCGCCAGCCTACGCCTGGAGCCCCCCCACAACAAGCCACCAGCATGTAAGAAAACCAGAAGGTGTCAGAAGAGGAGTGACAAGACCACAGGGCTGCTGTTGTGGACTCTTTGGGATGAAGATATTCGTGTAGTCTGTAACAGTGTCTGCTGAAAGGACTCAGCCAGGAGTTACTGTATAATACTTGCATTAGAATGGCCTTACAAAAACTTCCCCAACCTTTGGCTTGGCATCCTTTTCTAAAATCTCTTGCAGCTATTTGACGTGTCAGCGTATAGAGAATCCTTTACTACCAAGCTGGTCAGGAACTTTTTTGACTCTGCAGATACTTTTTGAAAGTCAAGCTTATAGCTGGAGGTTTTTTAGGTTTTTTTTTTTCTACCTATACGCGTATTTACAACTTGGTAATTGCACAAGGCCCTCTTGTGCAAAACCTCTAGAAGCTGGTTGCTACGAACAGTAACTTAGTGTAGAACTTATGTAAACTTCTTTGGGGTTGTTTTTTATTGTTTTGTTTTGAAGAACAGTATTTGTTGACCAATTCTATCCTTATGTGGCATTTGAGGATTTGGTGCAGCTGTTTCCCTATCAGTAAAAGCAAATCATGGTCCTCCAGGATGGCCCATTGGCTGCTACACCGTGCGCATCCTGTTTTAGAAAGAAAGTTGGTATTACTAGGAGTGAGCTAGGCGTACTGTTTCATTAAATACTTTCAACAAAAGAAATCCTCAGAATTGGATATTTGTAAGGTAAAAACTAGAGAAAGTATTCGTATTTGTTTACATAGAACCAGAGTTGCCTAGACAGTAAGTTAGCTGAAGAACCTAATCACTGCAGATAGACACTCTGTGTACCTATTGATTTCATTTCTGCTAGGCTGCAGCTGCCATTATTATGCTTCTGAAAATCACTTGCATTTGGCTGCTTTTCCAAATATTTTCCTTCTTATTAATTCAGCACATAGGGCCTTCCTTTCATTGCACAGAGCAGTCTTACTTAAACATTTATGTCCTTTTTCCCTCTCCTCCTTTCCCCATTTAGCATTAGACTTCTCCTACTTCTTCCAGCTTCTCTCATTCTCTTCTTCCTACACTTTATTTCTGTGTCATCTAACCATGGTCTCTGTTCACATCGTTTTTTCTGCTTCTCAGTTTTTCTGTTCTCACTCTATGACCCCATGTCTGTTCATGTGCTGTCTGTCCCAGCTTCCTTCTGTCCTTGCACCTTCTGTTCTGCTGGAGGACCGGTGCCTCCTCTTGTTCCATGCTCCTCCCTCTACAGTGACATTGCCCACACTTCTTTCCTGAAGTAAATACACAACAACTGTGCAGCCCCTGCTTGTTTATAACTGTATTGTCTTTGACCACAGACTCTCCATCCTCTAGCATCGTTGCTTCTACTGTTTTCTTCTGTCTCCTTCTTAGTATGGAGATCATTCTTCCTCCTGACTATTCTCTATTTAATCTTCTGGTTGCCTTCCCATTAGATATTGACGTCTGTGAGGGTGTTGTCTCCACAGACAGTCCTTCTGACAAGCTGAGAGAAAGCAGGGGACTCTGATGTGGCAGGGGTGATAGTCTGTGAGGGGGCACAGACTTGAGGTGTCGAGGACTAAGCCCGTTTGAAGTGGCTGGATACGGTACTGTGGGGGATCTGCTATCCCGAACCTCTGTCTAAATTAGCGCTGCCTTCCCTGTATCTCTTAACTCGTGAATGTTGTTGCTGCTTGAGCCCTTTATTGAAAGGGGTGCTCCTCAGCAGCACTGCTCATCCTTGCTTTGCCTTCCAGGGGACAAGACGGACTTTGTGGTGGTTGGTCAGAAAACTGCCACTGGAGTAGGGCAGGAATTGGAAGTCCAGCAGGGCATGGAGGAGGGGTGTCCAGGGGGTGGCTGAAAGTACAGAGGGAGAGATTTGAGACTCAGGACTCCCTGCCCTGTGTTCAGGTAAAAGCCTGTCAGCACCACTACGCAGAGAAATCCTGTTCCAGGGTGAGAGGGGTGATAGGCCTTTAAAATCCACCAAAAGCTGATCTAGTCTCTTGGCTAGTCTGACTGAAGACGGGAAAAAGATCTGAGAATTGGGGTGCTGTGTTCCATAACCAGGCTTCCAGCCTCTACGGGGCTCCGTATTTGTGGGGTGGGTTGCTGTCGGGGTTAGTGATGGCGCTGTCTGTTGCCATGAGGACTTGTTGCCATCATCCCACTTGCTCTAGCAAAGTGTCCTAAACTCAGAGAAGCACTTCTGGCCTGCTGGAAAATAAAATAGTTCTCAACTTAACATAGCCAAATGGTGTCTTTTCCAGGCAAATATCGAGCCACTTCTGCATCAGCCTGTTAATGATATCTTCAGCTGCTTTATTCTGCTTTATGTTTGTTCTGACTGCGAGTCAGCAGGTTATTCAGCAGGCTAATTCTGCCAAACAACCTGCAGTAATGTGTCAGAGACATTCAAATGTAAACAAACTGCCTTTCGCACATTGCCGTTGGTTTGACTGAGTGGGGCTAATCTTCCACCTGACGACCAGGCTGTCCTGGTTTTCTTTTTCAAAAAGACATCTGAAAACTACTCTAGGTCTACTGTCCTACTCTTGATCTACTCTAGGTGGTCCTGCTCTGGCAGGGGGGTTGGACTAGATGATCTTTTGAGGTCCCTTCCAACCCCTGACATTCTGTGATTCTGTGAACTATGATGACCACTGAAATAAGAAGGTGGAGATGAAGCCCTGACAGTTCCCACCTCTTTTGAAGGTGTGCAAGGAGTCTGGGTGTTAGCTGATGGTGGTGATGGGCATGAGTAAAGGAATTGGGAATGCCAGGAGGAGACAAGGAGGCCCTGTGACTTGATGTAGCCTGTTAGTTGCCTTCAGAGCCTTCACTGGAAGATGAAGACAATGATCTGTGGCTTACTGCACCCTGACCTCTCCATGATGTCTGAGGACTCTGGACCTAATCCTCAGCCAGTCTGTGCTAACAAGCCCTAGTAGGTATTAGAGAGTGAACAGCTCCGTTCTTTCAGCTCTTCCTGGTGAAACTTCAGGTGTTTGTCCTGGAGCAGGATGGTCTCGCGCTCTTTGCAGCACTACCAGTGTGTGATATTCCTCGAGCAGGTACTCTCCCAGCAGTTAGCAGCTCTTGCCCTGCTGCATCTGTCATCCCAGGAGTGCCTTCTGCTGTGCCTCAAATGGTGGCTCTGAGTCCAGACTATCGATGTGTGTGTTCAGGAGCATATTGGTCTGTGCTGCCTGTGCCAGCATCTGCTAGGTGGACCTTAGGTCTGGCCCGAACAACTTGTCCCCTTTCAGTGCTGCCTGTGCAGTCTTCCTACCAGTGTGACCTACTGAGGAGGAGATGGCATCGTAACTAAATGGGTTATCAGCTCCTCTTCATCTCAGCATCCTTCATCGTGGTGTAGCGGCTCTTCCCCTTGCTGCGGGTTGCTTGCCGTAACTTCCCTGTACAGGTTGCCTGATCTGTTTCAGCAGATCATGGATGACCTGGATCACAGATTTGAGGCTGCTGGGAGCAGTCACAAAACCTTGTGATCAACTGTGGTTGCACCCTCTGTAGCGTACCTTTCCACCTGTTCTTGGGGACTTGCTGCTTCTTTCTCCACGTCATGGGTAGGTGAATTGCATTTCTGATAAAAAAACCTGATTGGTGCCCATTTTGGAAAGAAAAACGTTCTTCCCTAGTTGGACCTCCCTTTCTGTACTGAAGATGAAGGACCACAGTAATCTGCCATGGAGTTCTGAATCCTGAGTGAGTGCATGTGTTCGCTAGTTAGATTGTGATTTTGGAGGGGAGGAGTCTGCAGGAAGATTTGCCTTTCTCTGTTCTCCAGATGCCTGTGTTTTTGTCAGGTGCTAGCGCCTACTTAGCAATAAACTACTGTTAGCTCAGGGTCTTTGCGTCCCGTCTCTGTATGGAATTGATAATATTTGCAATGGTCTTTCTTACCTTTAGTGGAAATTAATGGCAAACCGTGGGTTCTCCCTGTTGTGTTATCATAGTATTGACTGGATCATAAATCTAGAGGAACAACTTCACTGGGGTGCTTCAGTTTCTTTTTTTTGTCATGAACATTTTCATCTGGGTCTCTTGCTATATTTCTAAAAGAGTTCAACTGAGGGTGTTGTGGTCAACAAGATGCTCAGAGTTCATCTTCCAGTCCTAAAGTCGTGAAGAGTGGCTCCATAAATGGAGGTGACTAAACTATTTATTTGTAGACTTAAGATTTTTTTTTTTTTTTTTTAAAGGTGATAGTAATTCCATGAGTTACTTTTCCCAAAAACGTTTACCAGAAGAGAATTAGATGCTGGCTGGTTTTCAAGTTTGCAGCTTTTACCAATTTTTTTTTGCAATTTCCAATGTATCTAATTTCTGAAGGTACATTTTTTTTGTTTATTTGGCAGGAATATTGAAACTTATAGGAAATGCTTACACTGACATTCTTCACACAGATATTACAGAACTGTTGGCATGCTTCCAGACCTTATAACTCGGTGTTACCACCATCAGCTGGATAAATACCCAAAATCCCCATAAGAAGTCACCTTCAGAAGGTCAGTGGAGAGTGAAAGCCTCCCTTTAATGAATTGCCTGTGCGTATCAGTCATGCAATGTGTCTTACACAAAGAACAAACTGTCTTAAAATTAGTATTTTCCAGCTTTGCCCATTTGTCTGCTGAAAGCTGTTGCTTCTCTACAAAGTCTGTTGGCTTGTGTTTGCAAAGCTCCTGTGGACTTGTGGAGTCTGTCCGTTACTTCCAGGCGCTAACAGGCATCAGGTCAATGTGGTGTTTAGAAATTCCTTGGAAAACATCAATCACAGAGGCTGAGAAATGCAATAAAATATCCAATGCAAATACTCACATCAGGAATGCAGCCCAGGCTTCGCAGTCGTGCACTTCTGTGTGTGCAGCAACATCACATTTTTACATGTGCACATAGATAAGGGGCAGAGTAGCTGATAAAATGGTTCTTCCCCATTTCCAGCCAACCAAAGACTGTGGTGATGCGGTGCTGGGAGCCTTTCAGTCACATGAAATGTCACCGTGCTTCAAGGAAATGCGAAGCAGAGATGTTTTCACTGTAGCTGTAGGTTCAACCTTTCTGTGTCTTGCCTGATGAATTGGTGAGGAAGGCTGACGCCTGGACT